GGGGGGGGGGTGGCAGCTGGGACATTTCTGGGATTACTTGAGAGAAAGTGAAACACTTTCAGCAATACAGTACTGCTACTACGACTGCGCTCATGCGACAATACGTGTTACAGTCACTTTTCCCAAAAGCAATTTTGACAAGAGCCCCTTTCACACAGTCGACATCTTTTTGCACAACAGTCATCTGCTGATTAAGTCACTCAACACACACAGAAAAAAAATACAAATACATGGAAAAATGGCTTTATATGCTGAAAAACTGTGGATTGTCACGATGGCAGCACAGAAGTGAAGAAGATTGGGTTTGCTGTACTGTAATGCCTTTTTTTGTGTGAATCTGATCAATGACATTATTGATCGATCAGATTATGATAACATTACCACCTGTAACCGATGTTACCCGATCCAGACGTTCAGATCTATGAAGTCATATTTTTAGATTTTTTTTAAAAAATATTATCCAAAATATTTCTACACCAGGCACATGTTCTTATGACTTCATCGTGTGGTTTTCTTGTGTTCATTCAGACGTTGACGAATGTGAGACCAATTCCCACCACTGTAACCCCACCCAGGTGTGCATCAACACAGCGGGGGGCTACACATGCTCCTGCACAGAAGGCTTCTGGCTCATCGGGAGCCAATGTCAGGGTGAGTTGCTCTTCATTGAGTGTTCAACAGGTCAGTCATGACACAGTAGCCAAATATTTGCGCTTCTGGTCTTAATTCTCATTGGTCGGTTGTCAGTGGCTGTTTACTCGCTCTTTATTGATCTGTCATCGTGGATGAATTTAGCTCCTCCCAAATAAATAAACAAACAAATAAATATTTATATTTAAATAAAATCAGCGGATGTCAGCTGTGCCCCGATACAATCAATGAATACCAACAAAAGGAAAATAGCGACATCCTGTGGTCATTTACTGCAAATGCAGATTTCTCGCCAATTCAATGATTGCGATTGGGTAAAAATAAATGATTACTGCATTTTCACACCGTGTGTCCTGACCGCGTTCTTTGCAGATATTGACGAGTGTCGTTACGGTTACTGCCAGCAGCTGTGCGCCAACGTGCCGGGCTCATATTCCTGCTCGTGTAACCCGGGCTTCCTCCTCAACCCGGACAACCGCAGCTGCCAAGGTGCGTTCGCTGACATTACGTATTTCCGCAACTCCACCTTATAACCAAAATCTTGGCCACCGTCTGATGTTTTATGATCCTTTTTTTTTTTTTTTTTTTTTTTACAATCGGACATAAAGTCAAAAGTGATGTTTCGGGGACGTCTCCCGAGAATCTATCTTACGCAACCTTAACAAAGTGCAAATGCAAATCATCTGTTTGGAAACATTTCCAGAAAAAGAAGAAGAGTTCCGGGAATTGTTGCATAAATTTTGTGTGCGTGCGCGTGTGTGTTAGATGTGGACGAGTGCGCGGACGAGCCGTGTAGCCACGGCTGCTTCAACAACCACGGCTCCTTTATGTGCAACTGCGACGAAGGGTTCGAACTGGCAGCCGACGGAACCTCCTGCAACGGTATGGCCAAATGTAGTTAAAAAAAAAAAAGATGAATGACTGACTGTGATTGTATTAGAAAAGTATTGGAATGAACTATCATCAAATAAGGCAGCCCGGTGATCCACTGGTTAGCACATCGACCTCACAGTGCAGAAGTCGTAGGTTCGATCCCGGCTCCGGCCTCCCTGTGTGGAGTTTGCATGTTCTCCCCGTGTCCGCATGGGTTTTCTCCTCGTACTCCAGTTTCCTCCCACATTCCAAAAAAACAGGCATAGCAGGCTCATTGGACACTCTCGAGCCACCCTAGAGTCATTGTAATTGTAAAAAATTGTTATTCATTTGCAAAAATACAGTACTTCACATGTTCGTGACTTTCCCACAGACGTGGACGAGTGCAGCTTCTCCGAGTTCCTGTGTCAGCATCAATGCGTGAACACGCCGGGCTCCTTCAACTGCATCTGCCCACCCGGCTACTTCGTCTACGAGGACGGCCGCAGTTGCGAAGGTACCATTGAAAAAGTCCGCTCCCAAACCAATCAAAAAGCGTTCCTGTGCACTCCGATGTTTGAACTGACCCCGAGTGGTGTTGTCGTGTGCTTGATTTTGAAGATATCAATGAATGTGAGAGTGGTAACAACACCTGTACAACAGAACGAGTCTGTTTCAATTTCCAGGGAGGCCACACATGCCTGGCTCCTTTACAGTGTCCGCCTCCTTACGTTGAAGTGGGCGACAAGTGAGTGCGGCGTCGCCGCGGTTCTTAACGCGACGCGGTCGGCACTCAAAGCGTCGACCTCACACACTTTGCTCTCTGGTGTGCGCAGCCAGTGCATGTGCACTACGGGCAACCCTGCGTGCAGGGACCAGCCCTTCACCATCTTGTACCGACACATGGACCTGTCGTCCGGACGCAGCGTGCCCGCGGACATCTTCCAGATGCAGGCCACCACACGCTACCCGGGCGCCTTCTACATCTTCCAAATCAAGTCGGGCAACGAGGGCCGAGAGTTCTACATGAGGGTGAGGAACACGCTTAACGCGTCGTTTGCCAGTTACTGTCGGCATTCTGTATTTTCACGCCCTGCATTGCAAAAAAGTACCAGCAGGTGGCGCCAAGACCACTCTTTCACTGTTTTCATATCTCATGGGGTGTCGTGTGAATCCTGAAAGCGTTCTCCCATTATACAGTCATACCTCGGTTTTCGACCATAATCCGTTCCAGAAGGCTGTTCGAAAACCGAAACGACGCTCTTTAAAAAAAAAAAAAAATCTTATTTAAACACGTCTGCTCACGATGGAAGGCTACACGAGGAAGCGTCACTTCCTCGTCTACCCGAGGTGCATTCAAGTGCGCTCAGTTTGGTCAAGAACTGATTTTCTGTCGTAATCCGTGGCATAAAAACTTGAAATTTTTGGTCGGAGACCGATTTGGTCGAGAACAGAGATGTTCGAAAACCGAGGTTTGACTGTACTGTAATTAAAAAAAAAAAATCAGATTTTCTTTTCACTAAGATATAAAGGTGTGTGATACTTTGCATTTGCGTCTTTAACACACATTTGAATTTTCTCTATTAGCAAACCAGCAACCTGAGGGCCACACTGGTGCTGTCGAGGCCCATCAAGGGTCCCAGAGAGTTGGTCCTGGACCTCGAGATGGTGACGGTAAACAACGTCATCAACTTCCGCGGCAGCTCTATCATCCGTCTGACCATCTTCGTGTCGGCGCATCCCTTCTGATGCGCCGTCACGGTCGGGAACAAGCCCGACGGAACCTACCCCGCCCCGCCTTAATGGACTCTGAGCTCTTAAGGCGGCAAGATGGACGCCGTAGCGGGATGCGTCCGGTGTACAATTTCTGGCATCCTCTTCTTAGAAGCACCGCAAAACGTTGTATTCTCAGTACCTCCGCCGCTGCATCTTTTCCCCCATTCAGATCAGCTGTGAACAAGACTTTTATTGTGTATCATCAAATATGAATTATTGATTACAATAAACGTCTGTATGAGCAGGCCCACTGAAACCACCGCAGTGCCTTTTTGCGTTAATTCTTTTTTTTCCCAATTCATCCCATCCATTCATTTTCTCGACCACTTACATTGCTGAGCTCTGGAGCCTCTCCTAGCTGACTGGGGCCAGAGGCGGGGTACACCCTGGACCGATCCTCTGCCCATTGCAGGGTCCGTATGCTGAAAAACTAACAACCATACACCGGTGAAAGGTTTTTGACATTCCAAGTCAATTTCCAGACTTCAACCCAACAGAGAATGCCTTTTAGGAGAGGAGAATTGAGGGGAATAACACCCTAAAACCATGCATTTAATCGACTTTTTGAGAGATATAATCCCTCATTATAGGGATGAGGGTGAGCTGGTGAATGAAGCGAAGGTGCTGGCCCACTTGAAGACAATCAACTAATGAGACAAACATCAGCATAGAGACAAAATACATTTCGCTTCAAGTAAACCTGTGCTCGTTGCACTTCAGGGAAGACGGCACAAACACGGCATCAGTCCAGGAATTAGACACGTCCACATCAAATGAGAAGAAGGAACTTTGGACCTTTGCTCTCTGAAGAGACATTTGATAGCTTGTGTTGCCTGCACGCACATAACAAATCTGCTTGATGTCACGTTTTTTTTTTTTTTTTTAAATGATGAAAAAGATTTTTAAATTGAAGAATGGAAATCTTGAAAAATCTTACAATATCATCGCAGTTAAAAAAAAATAGTTAAAGTACAGTATGTCAAATTTTACATCATGAATTATTTAATTCAACTGACTGAACGTTGAAGTGGTCTATTTAGAATCAACGTGTGTGTGTTTTTTTTTTTTTTTTTAATTCTTTTCAATCAGTCAATAGATAAATTCACCTCCAGGTGCCCCGAGCAACATTTGTGACGTTCCCAGTTGGCATGGTGCAGTCACGTGCATCAGTGTGGACTCAATTCTACACAACAAAAGTCTTCCGCTTTTCCTGGGAACAGATGTAAAAGATGCCAGCATGGGAAAGGAGGGAGGACGAAGAAAGGAGGGGTAGAACAGATGTAAAAGATGCCAGCATGGGAAAGGAGGGAGGACGAAGAAAGGAGAGGTAGGGAGGAGGAGGAGGAGGAGGAGGAGGAGCGTAAACCTTAGCCGCTGAGGAGGAGGAGGAAGAAGAAGAGGAGGAGGAGGAGCGTAAACCTCAGCCGCCTGACATTTCTCGTCATTCTTGTGTTGACGTGACTGGCTTGGAGGTGCACCAGCAATTATAAAAAGAAAAATCTCTGTTCAATGAAAGCAAGCAAGCAAACCAGGTGAGACTTGACTTTTTCTTCAAAATTTTTTTTAACTCATATTTGGTATTCATTTTCTTTTTTTTTTTTTAACTCATATTTGGTATTCATTTTCCCATCATTTTATGCCTGAAAAAAATTCCTTTAATCAACGAATGGGCTTAAATAACTTCCTTCCACTTTTAGTTCTTTGATGAGACTCTGAAGCTCCGTACTGTTCTTTGGAATTTATGCAGATGCTGTTTTTGCACTTAATTAAGTCACATGTTTGATTATGCGTGAACTGGGTTGTGATATTTTTTTTGTCATTATTTTTTTGGAGTGGAAAACACTTTTTGCAGTTTTATCCCGCACTTTTCAAGATTTTTTTTGGTTTGTTTTTAACATGCCAATTTGGTCTATTGCTAAAAGGCTGGAAATGATTTGTTTCAGGCATGGAGTGCCTCAAAGACTGCTGCAAGAAGCTCACCAAAAAGCGAGAGAAGGAGCAGGAGGAGACAAAAGGTAAAGTTCAACACAGTAGCGGTGGCGCGTCTCAAGTCAGAGAGCCTCGCTGACCCACATGGCAGAAAAAGGCCAGGGAGAAACGGCAGGAACTCGTGTCCATTCTTATTTCAAGAGTGTAAATGCAAAAGCAGATTTGCCAATTTTTTTTTGGTGAAATGTGTCAAATTAAATTTGTTTGAAATTTCTGCTTCCAGGTTAGAGTGAATAGCTTTTATTTAGGGTATTCGATGTTAATATGGATTGTGGGGTTTTGTTTTGCAGTGTTTGTTTTTCAGGTTTAGGGAATGCACCATCAAAGTCTGCTTGTAGACGTGGCTCTATTTTTGTCCAAATGACACTATGCGGCTTTTGCATTTGAGCTCTTTGTTTTCCAGAACACGATGCAGCCTTTCGAAGGAAATTTCACATAGGCTGAATGTGGTGGGGCTCTTTGATGCTTGCCCCTAATGCGTTTTTCCAGGTTATTACAGCAAAGTGTAGATCGACGCAATTCTTTTTCCTGGTTACATTTTGTGTGATGTAGCTTACTGCTAGGCAGAATTCAAGGGGCACGAGTATTTCTCCCCCTTACTTATTTGCCCCTAATGCAAATGATCAATGCAGCTTTCGACAAAATATCTTTTTCTTGGTCACCTCCTACATTTTCTGTTCGTGAATGGGGCACTTACTTGCTTGCCCTTAGCGTTAATTATCATTTTTTTAAACTGATTTTATATTCCCGATCACATCACATTTGTGTTGTTGCCAGTCAGAAGTCATGCGGCGCAAGTATTTCACCCACAAACTTCACACTCGGTATAACATTTTGGGTGGAGGTGGGGCACTTTCTCACCTGCCCCAAATACAAATTGACAAATCAAACACAGAAATAATCAAGCACTGCTTTGAACGTTTGTCCCCTAAAGGTGTTGCAGTGCAGGTACCCGTCACCCGCAAACGATTGGGGGTTCAGGAAGACTACCTCCTATCCAAGATGCCCCCTGACGGCAAAGAGGTCCCGTTTGTCTTGCCCACCTTGAAGGCATCGTACGTGCAGCCCGGAGCCTCCTCTTCCCCTAACTTGCAGTACGGGATGCCCGGTGCGTTCATTGACGCGTCCCAGATAAAAATATATCTCTAAAAATATATATGTTTAATCAATTTTGGTTTTTCACCTACAATTTGCTAGATGTGACCCCTGATGCTAATTAGCATTTTTTAAAAAGCTATTCTATTCTCTCCAACTGCACAACACAAGAATAATGAGATGCTAAAATTGAAGAAAGCAGTCATGTGTCTGACTTTGATTAAAATGTGCTCAGAAGTGATCGAGGCGTGACTGAATGATCCGAGCAGGATGTCCTGTTTGGAAAAGAATTGGACATTTGCCTTGTCGCCGTGCGGTCGCCGGATCGGCATGCTGACCTTGTTTGCTGCTCTTTGTGCTTAAGGTCCGACCCGCTGCGCGTACGCTCAGAGGAAGGCCGAGCTGCTGAACCCCCTGGCCGCTTCTTTTGCATATAGCTCAGAGTCCAGTCTGCATACCGTCGCTGTAGCCGCGGATCCCGAGAGGACCTCGTTTGGCCTCAATTCCCGAGATCTTGAGGTCAACACAAGCTACTCAGGTGTGAAGATCCCCCGTATACTACGAACTACTAATATTAGTTTGATCCTGGATATATAAGTTGTTTGTGGGGCGCAAGTATTTTAATCCCGCAAAGTGCTATTTTCCGGATGTCGTGGGGCACTTCCCAACTTGCCCCTGATGAGAGTTAGCTTTTTTTTTTTCAACGCTATCGACCATTTTCAGGCAGGTGCTGCCAACCTGAGTGTACAAAGATAACATTTTGTGACAACTTTGATTGGATCGTTCATGGTTTTATTACGTTCCCTTGTTGCTAGGCAGAATGTGGTAGGGCACTTTCACACTTGCCCCAATGCAAATAATCAATACTTAATCCTTGATAAGACACAAATTAGCTTTCCTTTTGTTGCTCCTTGATGCACTCCAAATAACTCCATATTTCCTTTCCATGTTTGTGATGTCACCTGTTGCTAAGCAGAATGTGAAGTGATGTGAAGAGCATTCATTTGATGGGGCACCAACCCACTCGGCCTTAATGCCTAACTTGGATTTTTTAAATATCTTTATTGTCCCTCAAAACAAGAACAATAACATCTGTAGGTAGCCCAAAAAAAAATAGTAAGTAAATAAATAAATACCGTAAAATAATTTTTGTTGCTCTGCAGTTTTTGTGATCTTATATTTTTGTACTTTTCATTTATTTTTCTTTTTCACGTTTAGGATCAAGGACTCACTCTTTGTACTTTTTATTATTCTGCAGTCTTTTAAAGTCATTTGTTGTGATCTTTGGTCTTGTAAGGTCATTTGTGTTGTAGCTGTCTTTCGCCATGTCACTTCCGTTTTTGCGAGCTCTACTCACGCTCATTATAATTGCTGATGAATAAGGTGGGGCAGTTCTCTACTTTCCCCTATTACAGAAAAGCATGCTTCAAGCTATTATAGTCTCAAAACAGCACAACAAAAGTACGAGTACATCAGTAGTGTGTTTTTTGAAATAATTTCTCTCATATAAAATTGACCTTTATTTTTTTTCTTTGTTTGACTGCAGACTCTGGTGAACGACTTAGTCGGTCCATGACTGAGCTCATCACCACTCACAGTCCTGAAATGAAGGTCAGACTCTTACTGTTTGGTCTTTTCCCACCAAAGTGATCTGTTGCATACATTACAGTACAGACAGTACACATATTCCATTTATATTCTAAACATGATTTACATGTTTTTACGTTGGTGTTTTTACATACCCACATTTTGTCTCCTGTAGAGCTTTGATTCCATGCCCAGTGTCCTGAGCACTTCAGCCTCCATCAGTGACTCGATGAGAAGCAGCGCAGGTAGAAATGAACACACCTTTTTGTCATCTTTAATGTCCGCAAGTCACATTTTATACTTTGTTGAGTTGGAAATTATGATAATATATAGTAGCATAAAATATGTATAATAACTGTTTTTTTGTTTGTTTTCACAAGGGAGTCTTAACTATGTCACAGTTTGCTAGCTAACATTTTTGGGGCACAAGTATTTCTGCCCCTGAGAGGCACACATGCACTTGACATTGCGTTCCCGTCGCCTTTCAGATTCTTTCTCACTGTTGGGTGACGACCTGGGGAAGTTGTGTGTCCGACTGAGCTACAAGGAGGAGATGGAGCAGGTGTGGATCACGCTGGTCCAGGTAAAGTTTCGCTGCGTGGGACAATGGCCTCCTTTGTGAAGCCCCTCAATCCAGTAAATGGGCCCTCTGTGTTGAGGCTCACAATGATACATAAGTGCTTATACGGACAAGGAACTGCTTTCTTATAAGAAATCTGTAAAAAAAAAAATCCTAAAACAAGGTGTGCTTGTGCTAGAGACTGCAAAACAAAAACAAAAATGAAACTGCTGTTTCCCCGCCAACTGGGGCAAAGTTGTTGCAGAGCAGATTAAACAAACAGGGTGACAAGGCAGCAACAAAGAAGTCACATTTAACAAAATGGCTCCAATAACAAGGCCTTTGAGTATTTTACGATAATACTTGTTAAAACACTGACATTTCCTGTCTGGTGGATCTGGTGGGGCACTGCCCCTAATGTGAAAACTTCTCAATGACTGTAGCTTGTTTTTTTTTTTTTTTTTTCCTCGTCAGTGTTCACAACTCAACTTGCCAGTGAATAAAGCCCAAAAGCCAAAGATCCGAATCAAAGGTGTCATCACACTTCCGAAACCGGTCAAGTTCCAGACTTCCATCAAGGAATACTGTCGGGTATGGGAAACATTTTGACATTTCAAACGTAGGTTTTATAACATTTTCTTTGATTTGTGGGGTCTTCGTTATATCCCGTATATGCACCTAAGATGATTCCTATTTTCCTCAAATCAGGAATGTAGTATACTTCATTATACACACCTACTATAAGCACATATGCTATTAAAACTAATACTAAAACTAATAATAGCCAAGCCAACAGGACATGTTTCTGAATAAAATGAAAAAGTTCTGTGACACATTTTTTTTCGTGACTCCGTACCGGTGAAAATATTTGTTTTTCGAAACCCTCGTGTCAACATAGCTTTCATCTCAAAATGTTTGCTAAGCTAAGCCGCCCGTGTGCACTCAGCTGTTACCGCTATTGTTGTGTCACTTCATGACCTTTTTTCAGTCATCATTTGCTTTTGTGTCTCCGCACAGGACACATCCTTCACGGAGACGTTTGTCTTTGCGCTGAGCCTCCAGAGCCTCCGCGGCAGCGCCCTGCTGCTGAAGCTGCAGACGCAGGGGGCCAAGAAGCGCACGGTGGCCAAGTGCGTCCTGTCGCTCCGGCCCCTCGGCCCGCAGGAAATTGAGCAGTGGCTGCCCCTCAGAAGTCCATGCAAGTTCTCCGTGAGTACGACAAGGCAAAAAAATTTCAACGAGCGGAGGGGCAAGGGGTGGGGGTGGGGGGAAGAATCACACTTGAATGTAATGTACAGGGTCAAATCATGTTGAATCCAGATCTGATCCCGATTGCAATTTTGATGCAGTGTAAACACAACAGTGCAAGCTCATTTAAAATGAATTGCACATTAAAGTCAAATCACCATTTCTCTTCAGTAGTTGTTTAAAAAAAAAAGCGTTTTTAAAGATTCAATGCAAATGCATTGAATTTCGTCGTCAAATCAAGTTAAGGAATCCAAAGGTGAGATGATCTGGATTGCTCTTTTGCCTCAATGTGAATACAGATACGATCTGGATTGGTAAAAGGCAACCAGGCGAATCACATTGTGCGTTGTCACAAAGGCTTCTTCTTGCCCGCCGCAAGAGAATCGCAGCCTGTCATAGTTTGTCACAAGTTCCAGGCAGACTGTTACGGGATAATGTTTACGCAGTGTGTGTCACCTCATCAGCACTGATGATGGGCCTCCCTTGTAAACCAGTTTTATTCTGGGCTGTGATGAAATGCGGTCCGACTCGCTGCACAGCTGTTGCGGCCAAAGACTACTTCCTCTTTCCTTTCCTACAAAAGGGAACATTCCGGATTTACTGGTTGTTAATCTGTGCGACCGACCTGTCGCCGCCATCACATAGCCCGACGACAAAGTTTGTTGTTTTTTTTCCACTTCAAAGCACATCAAGAGCACACATGAGTGATTTTGGTTGTTGTTGGTCAATTGGTCAATTTCTGGCGAGTGAGGGTAAAATGCGAGAGAGCTGCGTGTACACTCAGTGAATCATCATTTATTGCTCGGAGGTCCAGGGTGTTTTTTTTTTTTTTTCTCACTCCCCATCTGTCCCCCATTCTTCTAAAGCACACAAAAGCTCCCTTTTATTGCAATCACTGCAGTCATTTACTTGGAAGTGGGCCCAAGATGCAAGAACTGCTTCCACCTGGTTCTTACAGAGTGACCGAGAAAGTCAAAAACAGAAACAGAAGACCTCCACCAGGGCTACAAAGTGAAATGAGTCACGACTGTTGACTAGTTTAATAAAGAGTGAAATTGAAGTCCAGATTGTGGTGAAAAGAAAAATGCAGATGCACCAAAAACTATATTGTGATGTAAGCATGTCAATACATTTCATGGGATATTTCCATTTCCTGTTTACACTATGGCTAATCTGGATCAGATCTGGTTTTGACTCTGGCCCTGAATTCACATAGCAAATGTCAAACCAGATGGAATTTAACATGATATGATGATGGTTAGGGATAACAATAAGAAAAATAAGCTAAATAAATAAATAAATAAATAAATAAATAAAATCGGCCCGGTGAACAAGTGGTTAGTGCGCCGACCTCACAGTGCAGAAGTCGTGGGTTCGATCTCGGCTCCGGCCTTCCTGTGAGGAGTTTGTATGTTCCCCCCGTGCCTCCGTGGGTTTTCTCCGGGACTCCGGTTTCCTCCCACGTTTCCAAAATGTGCATGCCAGGCTAATGGAACACTCCATATTGTCCTGAGGTGTGATTGTGAGCGCAGATGGTTGTACGTCTGTGTGCTCCCTGCGATTGGCTGGCAACCGGTTCAGGGTGTCCCCCGCCTACTGCCCAAAGACAGCTGGGAGAGGGTCCGGCGACCCTTGTGAGGATAAAGCGGTTCAGAAAATGGATGGATGGATGGATAAATAAATTATTATGATTGTCATCATGTATGAACTGCTATCAGTATAATAATAAAGGTAAATAATAACATAAACTTAACATAACCTACGTGGCAGGAGTAACATTTAAAAAAAAAAAAAAAAAAAAAGCAATTTATCTTCCAAGTCGATTATCGCAGTCTCTTGTGTTTCAGGGTCGAGGATGCGAGCTGCATCTGGCAACCTGCTTCCAGCCCGTCTGCAGACGCTTGCAAGTCCGAGTCCTCGCCGCCCAAAACCTGCCAACTTCCGCCTCGCCCCTCCCGCCAGGTAACCCGCCACATCATTTTCATATTCCAGGAAAATTGCCGACATTCCCGCGATGATGATGATGATTATGATGATGATGATGATGATTTTTCCCACAGCCTACGCAGTGACTGTGGAGATGCTGGGCTCCGCCGAGCCAGCGACCAAGAAGAAGACGCGAGCGCTCAAGGCCACCAAGGGGCAGTGTCAATGGAACGACACTTTTCACTTGGAATTGGACCCTTTGGAACTGGCCGCATGCGAGCTGTCAATCAAACTCTTCAGCTGCAGCTCGGTCAAAAGGAAGCATTGTGTCGGACAGGTCTGTTTTCTTTCGGTCACATACATTTACGAACAGGTTTACCTTGGTAGTCACGATAATACTTGAGTTCTTCAAGATGGTTCCATTAGTGTGCCATGAACGTTCTTACGGTGTGCCGCAGGAAATGATCAATTTTGACTTAATTGGTGAGAAAATTATTGATAAATAACATATAATGTATCTTTGTCCATCTACCTATGCCAGCAACTTATAGTGATAGGAAGAACAAATAAATGATCTTCTATTCGATGGCAAAAAAATATGCAATTGGCATACAGCCATGAACGTTCTTACGGTGTGCCGCAGGAAATGATCAATTTTGACTTAATTGGTGAGAAAATTATTGATAAATAACATATAATGTATCTTTGTCCATCTATCTATGCCAGCAACTTATAGTGATAGGAAGAACAAATAAATGATCTTCTCTTAGATGGCAAAAAAATATGCAATTGACATACGTATCCTCTTTTTGTGACAAGTTTGTGTGGTGGTGTGCCGTGCGATTTTTCAAACTTAAAAAAAAAAAAAAAAGTGACGAATACACTTAGAAAGTTGCGTTTGATTGTGCAGGTCCAGCTGGGATTGAACGGCCCCACCCAGGAAGCGGCGGAGCAATGGAAGGACACCGTGGACCATCCCGAGAAAGTGGTGGCGGCCTGGCATACTGTGACTTAAAGTCGCCATCTCTCTTTTTCTGGGGGCACATGTGAAATGCGAAACGTTGCGTTCGTGTTATTGATCGTTCTGATCACCAGCTAAAGATTTTGATCAGTTTAACACGTGACCACACGTTGGTTATTGTTGGTCTAATTCACTGACTCAAAGGTGTGAATTAGAGGTCGGTCCATCTGATCACCAGCTAAAGATTTTGATCAGTTTAACATGTGACCACATGTTGTTGGTTATTGTTGGTCTAATTCACTGACTCAGAGGTGTGAATTAGAGGTCGGTCAGGCTCACTTACGAAGTCAATTTAGAAACATTTCATTCCATGGTTGCTTGAATATTGTACGTAGTTCTTGTTGCTGAAGCTAACTGAACATTGTTTACATTCGTGTTTGAGTAGCATTCAAACCTTAGCTGACGTCAGCACTTTAAAAAATAAAAATAGTGTATTTAATATTTGTATTAGCTTAGTGCAATTAAGCGTGGGTGCTATTGTGTTCTTATCAATTTCTTTGCATCATACGAGAGGATACAGGCACGCCTTTTGGCGGGACTTTGACGGGAAGCATAAGTCACATGTTGGCGGCCATAAAGATGACAGGACACTTTGTCATAAAATAGGTCACCAAACTGAGAAATCTCCAGGCCAACAGCGAGAAAGGAAAAACAGTCCATGTCGTTAATCCCTCCTGGCCCACTTTTCTGTATTAGATTCCATAAGAGCGCCTATTTCCGCATCATTTGATGTTTTTTGGAAATGGCCGCCAATCATTGCATAAGAATGGCGCAGGTGCGGATGACCAAACGAGAGTGACTTCAGACAAAATGGTGGAGCGCCGGGACGACGGGTTCATCACCGCCAGAGAGGATTCTGTTTCTTTCTTGCTTACTTGGTTTTTGTCTCAAGAGTTGTGTCATGTGTGAGTCAATAAAGAAGGGATTCATTCGTTTTTAAAATACTGATTTGGATTCCGAACCAGAACCTGGATGAGTATCACTTTTGGAACAAAGATGGAAGGTTTGACTCGATTTGGATGTTGTGCAGCATGTTTGGAATGATCCAACTGTTGTTTGTTGTGGATTTGGATCCAGAATCCGGATCCATTTCACTTTCATGACAGTGCCACCAAAAAAACAAAACAAAACAAAAATAAAACGAAAGAAGCTTCAAGTTTTTTATTGCCAATCCCAGTTGAAATTTTCGGTCTTCTAAAAACACGTTGTATATAGCATAGAACTTTGCCTGAAAGTCAGCTTGCTTAAAAATGATGCAACGGGGTCAGTAAAAAAGAAATACTGTGCTGTATTGTATGTCACCTTTAACCTACGGCGGCACGTGACCTGCATCACCGGAAGTTGTTAGCGGTCAGCAGTCTGCAATTGCAGCTTGCGATCACAGCTGTTGCCTGGTTATCTTTTTTTTATTTTTATTTTTTATTATTCTCATTAAGAGTTCGTTTCATGTACTATTCAGCGATGGCACTGGCAAAAAAAGGGGGAATTTGGAGCGCCAACAGAATCATTTTAAAACGGTACACGGGAGCTACGATGGTGACGTTGATGTACTGAAGACGCTGCGAAAGTGCGACCGATGTCGCCGCATCAGGTCTCGACTAAGGTAGGCACTGATTTCTTTTTATAAACTCGCAAGCTCCTGTATCAACTTTATTTTTCTGTTTGGATCATGTTCAGGGCGGTTTTGGCTGTTGATTATCATGGCATGTGTGTGTGCGTGTGCGTGAGTGTGTTTGCGTGCACGTGCGGTAGCGGGTCGATCGCGGAGGCCGGTTGCTTGAAAAGTTGATCTTCGGTCAAAAAAGGTGGGGAACCCCCGCTGTTAATCATATACTTGCTTAATTTCAGATTCTGTTCCTATTTTTTGTTTACGTCATTATTAGATTATATTTTATTTTGGATTTTTTTTAATTTAATTTTATTATATACTTATTTTAATTTCAAAATGAATGAATATTTATTACGTATTAGTAGTAGTAATATTTTTTTTTCTCAAGATATGACTCAAATATTTTATAGTAATTGTTTTTGTGAATGTACTTTGTAATTATTTTCATTTGTTTCTAAATGTTTTTTTTTAAACCGACAATATTACCCGAATGCGATATTCAGGTTGAGTTCTTTTCCATGAAAATATTTACCTGCTTAGCTTGACGAGCATTATGATTAACAACAAAAAGGGTGAAAAACACCAGCGTCTTGAATTTCGTGTGGGTGGGAAAAGGCCCTCTCCTTGGTAGTCCGGTTGTAGAGCACCCCCATGTGGTCATTAGCTGAAAGTACAAACAGGACAAACCCACCAAGTCGTCAAGCGTGCTTGCCAAAATGATGACTTCGGTTTTGAAAATATTATTTTTAATATTTTGTAGTAAAAGGCAAAATGGTTCCGCCTTGAGATGGATTTAAAAATTTGAATTTTGCTGCTTGACTCATATTCCACAAACACAATACTGTAGTCATCAGAATACCACGTTTAGACTAGGGGGGGGGGTGGGGTTGAACATAATATTGTAAAGCAAACTTTTGACTTGACTTGCCCTCTTAAAAGAAACAAGATTGAACTAAGTGGGGTGAGGTAAGGGGGGGGGGAGTCATTCAGTTGGGTTGCTGCGCTGAAAGAAGGATGACAGTGATAGAGGGAGAAAAGTGAGCAGAGTGTCAGCTCATCCATCACAGGTGTTAGTGTCATTATTCAATTACCGGCCATCCTTAACACTCCTCGTGTGTGTGTGTGTGTGTGTGTGTGGGGGGGGGGGTGAGGGTATTAGCCTTGCTTGCTTACAAGCTTTTAGAGTAAAGCGACCCTTAAATCCAACTCACTGTCACCCAATGACACCCTCACGCTTGGTACACTTTATATCTTTTTTCCTAATGTACCATCAAACTTCTTCATTTATCCTTTGCCACTGCATCCACTTTGTAGCTCCTTTTCATGCCCCAGAAGATGAGGAGGGGCTCGGATGATGACATGGTGAAAGGAGTCTATACATGACCCCAAGGCTAAGGAACTATGGACATATTGACGGTGAAATCGGCTTGTTTTGCAGGGCGGATCTTTCTAATATGTATATATATATATATATATATATATATATAGGGGGCACATGTTCCTGGATGGAGTTCTACTCGCTGTACTGTATCAAAGTTACGCCACCTCCGTCCTGCTCTTGTCTGATTTCACCTTCCCCGACGCTCGTCTGAACAATTGTCTCTCATTTTTTTTTCCCAGCATGTCTGCTTCTCCTTCTCCTCCTCTGTGAGGTTGTTAGCGTATGTAGTCATTAATAACCTCCACTCTCACAGTCTTTGCAGGTGGAGCGTGACACCTTTGCTTGTGTGGGCATGAGCCAGGCAGGGGGCCGGTTGGGATGCATAAAGAGAGTGTGTGTGTGTGTGTGTGTGTGTGTGTGTGTAATAGCCAAAGGCAAAGCTTCCTATATCCACACACACACACGCACACACACACACACACCAATGCACATACAGACAGGAAAAATACAGTCCTGTTTTGATCTCTCTCTCTCGCGCTCATTTACGCACACGCACGCACAGGTGCTTTCTGGTATCAAAGAGACCGTGAGGGAATTTGTGCCACCTCTTTTGTAACGTGACATTTTTAACTTACATTGGCCCGCTTGCAGTGTGAAATCTGTGTCAGCCAATACCAAATTCCGTATTGGTAAAGTATCGGAAGGGAAAAGGTTTTAACGTAATTCTAGATAGAACCCTGGCATTTTTCAAAAGTATTCTCCTTTTTCTCCTCTTGATTAGATGACTTTTTGGTGGATAACAGACATTTCAGGCGGCCCGGTGGTCGACTGGTTAGCGCGTCGACCTCACAGTGCGGAGGTGCAGGGTTCGATTCCGGCTCCGGCCTTACTGTGGGAAGATTGCATGTTCTCCCCATGCCTGCGTAGGTTTTCTCCGGGTACTCCGGTTTCCTTCCACCTTCCAAATCATGCATGGCAGGTTAATGGATCACTCTAAAATGTCTCTCGGTGTGATTGTGAGCACGAATGGTTGTTCGTCTGTGTGTGCCCTGCGATTGGCTGGCAACCAGTTCAGGGTGTACCTTGCCTACTCCCCGAAGAAAGCTGGGAGAGGCTCCAGCACCCCCCGCAAGCCTTGTGAAGATAAAGTGGATCCGAAAATGGATAGATGGATGGACGGACTCTTGAATGATAATTTTGTAGAACGGATTTCAAATCAGATCGCCATTTTATACTAACAAGACACCCGATTGGTGGAAACTCTGTAAAGGCTTTCATTCAAGGGCAAATAATATTTTCTTCAAACATTTTGAACCAAAACAAAGGAAAAGCTTGGATGAATTACTGTCAACTCAACATATTGCTCAGCTGTGTACGAAAACGGGCAAAAAGCCACAGCAAAACAGATCGAGTGGGACAACCGAGAACTCGTAGTTAAATGTCGGAAGAGGGCTAATTGGATTGGGTCGGGTTGGGCTCATTTTTCCGTTTTCTCGAGCGCCCTATCCAACATCTAACGAGCTGCCATTGAACATTCTGTGCGAGAAATGGGGCAGAAGAAACAACAGAGTGGAAGCCATCTCACACACAAGTGTGTCGTGAATATCGTATCAGCAGCACATCAGTCCAAGGACGCCATGACGCTCCTTATGAATATTACACACACACCCTGCTCCCGCTTTCTCTCTGCGTGCGTATTAAAAGCCCCCCCCCCCCCCGTCTGCATGACATCAGCTGCGCGCTTGCCCCACAACTGTCAAAGTGTGCCACGTATGTCATCGAATCACTCGCAGCGACCACATGAGACAAGCTGTGCCGCGCGTCGTCGTTGCATATCCATAAATGTGTCACGCTCCTCGGGAGCGCACGTCGTTATCGCCTACCGGAAGCGCAAAAAAAAAAAAATATCAGATGTACATTAAAAATATATTTATTCATGCAAATCAAGCCATATCATACCGTTGCAAAGATAAGTATGCAGCACATTCGGAAACCATTCACAGCACTTGACTTTTTCCCGTATTTTGTTATGTTGCACTTTTACGCCGAAATTGATGATATCAGACTGGACGACTAATGACCATAAATTAGAACTGCGCTGAACTTCTTCCATCGATCGACACAAAAACAAATCGGCTGCGACTTAATACGACGAGAGTCTCCTCGCGCGCAATAATAACCTTGGACTTTGGAGCAGATTATTCCCAAAACAAACTCGACAACAACTTCCTTCCGAGCTTTCCTGAGATTTCATCTGAAGGGAGAGAGAAAAGACAAGAAGAAGCAACCTCAGCTTTGACATTTTCCAATTTAAAAGTCATCCTGCCGACATGACACATTTGGGTTGTTATTAATCACAAACGCGACAGCTCCTCGACTAAAAGCACCGCGCAGTCCCCAAACATCTGTTCATGAGACGATACGATATATTTACTTATGAAACACACTCGGCTCGCTCTGGTTCACAGCTAATGTGAATAGAAGTCACTCTCTACACACGTGAAGAACATTTAAGCAAAAGGGAAGCAGCTGACAATGTCCTTGAGAGAGAGAAAGAGAGAGAGAGCTGGGGAGGCACTTTTTGGATAATCTGACAAGTTCTGTCTCAAAATCGAGATTTTCAAAATAAAATGCACACAAATCCCAATCCTGCCTCGCACACGCTCAAAAAACAAGCACGAACAAATCTAAGTCGCGCTTCATCGATGCGATTTGTATGACCGAGTCGTCGATCAGCAGTATGCAAAATGGCGTCGCCCGTCGATGACAATTGATCAGTCTGATTGGCTGTTAGCTAGCGAATCAGTGCATGAGATAGAAGTGACAAAACAGCAAGGAAAGTTTTTTTTTTTTTTTTTAGTTGAAAATAACTTCCCTTAATTTCTAGGATTCATGCCGTACACTATCCAACGGCAAAACAAAAATGTTTATTTTCTCTTTGGTTTCCTACAAGCCTGTTCCTAGCTAGCGCTAAGCTACTTCATCTTTCAGGTCCGACATTCAACTTTTGTTTGCTGCTCTCATGGGGTCAGCCGGCCAAAAGCCAAGGTGTCAGCTGGCCAAATATTCCAATTACTAAAACGGTGTTAGCCGGCCAAATATTGCCATAACTACTTTCCGGGCATCTGCTTGAAATGTAGCTTTCACGCGTGTGCACTCCCTACTTAGAAGGGAATACGTTATGTTACTCGAATGGGAAAATTGAAAAAGAAAAAAAAATCATGGGAGGTCATGGAATTTTTGACGCGCGCAAGTGAGGCAACACTGTATGTCCGATTTTTATTTCACGAAACCCTGATAGTGGATCAGATGATAAATAATGACGCCAGCCGTGTTCGCTGCACAGCCAGTGTTGACCTGATAACATTTGAGTTGTGAGACGAGCGGTGAGATTTTGTGTCACCCTAGCCACCCTCTTGAAACATTTTAAAGTGCAGAGAACATCGACAGAAAGTTCAGATTTGATGTCGAACGGAACGTCGGAGCAGATGCCAGAAATGCAAACTCAGTCAAGCCGACGACATGCCTCATCCGGTGCCAGCTGGGCAACGCTCCAATTGCCTGCCCGCCCGCGAAAAAGCTTTTCATTGATGATTTATCTCCATCCACGATAAACCATAATCATCATCATCATCATCATCATCATCATCATCATTTAGTGGACGTCTGTCTGTGTGCTTTGTTTTCATTAGTGAAGGCCTCCGCATTCGAGATGCAGCAGATGGTAATGCCAATATGCGATTTATATTCGATACAGAACAAAGCTGTACGGACGCCGATTCACCAAGTAGAATCGCTCCAAATTGGCAACCGACGGCGTAGCTACGGCGCAGCCGACGTCGGCTTGGTGTGGTCACGCTTTAATTGCTAAAAGGGGCACATTTGAGTTGATATGAGGCATGGTCCGATATGAGATTCTGATGGGATGATAATCGTGAGCAAAAAATATCGCGGTGTCACGGCATTAAAATTCCAGCTTAAAAACAAATTTTTATTTTTTTAAACAAAATATCGAATATTTGTGAAAGAAGCAATGTATACCATGTTAAAACAAACAAACAAACAAACAAATATTAACATTCCTCTGTTTTGATTCTTCTTAGTAAGTCACAATGTCCCATCACTGGTGAGCTATTTTATTTTTTATAACAGACCTGGGCTACTCATCTTGTCCTTGGAGATAATGATTAAGATTGTACTAATGATTAACAATGTTCATGTTAACATCTTGCCTAGCGAAGTGCGCTTGTGTCGTATTTGTGTGAGAGACTGCCAGCAGCTCAACCTGATGAGAACATGCAAGCACGACACGGTCAAGTCTGTAAAAATGAAATCTTTTAATTGGTGGCTTCATGTTTCATGGTTGCATTCAGAACCGGAGCCAGAATGGTGATGAAGAGTATGCATCCAGGAACAGCCTGAGAAGGATTGCCAATTCCAACAAAGTCTCGATCACACCCCCCCCCCCCCCAAAAAAAAAAAACAACAACAACAACAATAATAAACAGGATCGCAACACGTGTTGCTTTGCTGCCACGATAGAAACATGTTAAGACATCATTCTGGAATCATTTCAGTGAAATTAATGTGGGATCTTTTGTGAGTCGGAGTTTGGCGTCAGAACAATTGTACCGTGGTGCCTTGAGATACGAATCACCCGACTTTTGAGTTTTTCCAAGATACGAGCTCTCATTTGGCCGATATTTGAACCTAAACGGTAAAGCAACACGTGAACAACAGACTAGCAAGAAATACAATACGTATTGGCATATATTCTTTATCATCTGCAAAAAAAAAAAGACCTTACTGCAGTTATTGAGTCACTTACAGTAGTTGTGAAAGTCTTCTTTGTTTGTCGGCATGACTGCATTGTCGTGACAAATCACCCAGAAGATTTCTGCCGTGAATTCATCATGATGCCAAAAACCGGTTGTTTCGATTCTACTGTACAAAATTCCAGAGTGCATTTTCTTTATTTAAATCTTTGTTTTATTTTCGTGAGGGAGGATGGAACGGTTTAAAAGCATTTCCATTCATTTTAATGGCGAAATATGATTTAACGTGTATCTCAAGACACCATTGTATGTTTTGCACAAATTAAAAAAAAAAAAAAAACAAAAACATTTCTCATGGGACAAAAAAAAAAAAAGAAAACAAACATTTCCACGTTTCCCCTTTTTGCATTTGGAAAGGCTACACAATAAGCAGCCCGTCGTCAGCGCCCTGTTGACACCAAAGCCGGACTACATTCAGTGTCATGGCCGCTCTTCAATCGTACATTCGCTCCTCCCTTGCGCCCTTTTATTGGTTGTCGCGCCTCAACACTTGACGCCGCGGTTGGGTTTTGACAGCTCGTATTGGGATGTCATACAAATCATCTCATTAGGGTTAGTCGGAAAGATAAATGGTGGAGCCGCAACGTTTACTTTCCCTGCCTCTTTTTGCTAAAGTTGGTTTAGTACAGCACTTAATTTAAAAAAAAAAAAAAAAAAAAAATTAAAATAAAAGTTGACTTAATATTTGGATGTAAACCTGATTACCTGCAATTATTTTGTCAGTTGTACCAAAAAAAATAAAATAAAATAAACATTAATATCTGAAAGTTAATAAATTCAACCAGTTTGTATTATGCAGGTCAAAATTTGATTTTCAGGTCTACAAAATTGCCCTCGTCAGTTTAACACCAAAATATAGTGTGTATAGAATTTTGTCAATCAAACCTACACCAGTGTATTTTGGACTACAAAAATATATATTACTATAGATATTTTTATGCCAAGTGAAAACACAATTATTTCCAGCTGAACACAAAAATATTCTTCATTTTCATGAATCATTTCAGCCATTTTGTATTTTTGTGTTCGCGTTTCTGCGTCAATGAACCGACACGATTGCAATTTGTCGCTATTTTCTGCAGGTTCATAATTTTGTATTTTGAAGTCGACTCTAAAATGTCGCCTATTGAGTTAATATTTGTGCTCAAATTTCATATATTAAACACAAATATTTTTCATTGTAGTTTTAGGTCAATATCTTGTAGTCATTTCCACACATTTGTAATTTCTGCGGATTTTTTTACCGGGAAAAAAAAAGAAAAAAAAAAACGTTTCAAAAAAATTATCAAGTCAACTATTTATTTTAAGGGCACAATGTAATCATAATAAAATATTTTTGCTTATTAGTGTGTCCAAGTATTTGTGCTCCGTTTTTGTCATATTTAAAAAAAAAAAAAGTACGACCATTTACTCCACTTTTCCACTGTTGAGAAGTCTCCATTTAAATAATACAAAATAAAGTGTATAAAATAACTCCCAAAGCAGCCATTTTCATTCCAACTATTTTTTTCTTTTTTTTTTTCTGCATCCCAATTGAACTGACGATGGCACTTTTTATGGCAGACACAAACATTTGCAATTGTAGCTTGCTTCCCCAAGTGTGGATTTAATCCCGATGACTTAATTTTTCAGAAAAAAAAAAAAGTCAGCCCACTTCATCCAGTGAATTTTTCAGAAAAAAAAAAAGTTACGCTAATTTGATGATGTCTGTGTTTGCTACAGAGATAACGAGAGGGAAAAAAAATTGTTCTAAAGTAGTCATAAATTCTTCAATAATGCCATCAACCCTGTCCTTTTCTAAACCTGAACACATGCAAACTGGGAGGGGGGGGGAGGGGGCAGATTTATCAAACATAAATAAGGATCATAGCAGTACAATCACCTGACGGGGGAGGCGTGAGCATCGGATTGGTCGCTACGGCAGCGAGGTTGACCGCCGCCGCTGCCGATTAAACAACAAAATTATTATTAGTTATGAAAGTCGGCGCTCATTCGGTCAATCACACTATTTACAAAGGCATAAACATACGCCAGTAGGAGGCGTACTGTACATACTATTTACACACACACACGCACACGCACACACACACACACACACACACACACACACACACACACACACACACACACAAAAGACACTTTAAAATGCAGAATGTTAACTGGCAATCGTTTGACAGAAACGACGGGCGGTGACGCTAACGCAGTGATTCCCAACCACTGTGCCAAAGGAAAGGATCCAAATTTGCGTGACAGCTGGCAAAATTATGAAGAATTGAAGACAAATAATGACGCTCGCGCTTATCTATCTATGCCAGCAATGTATAGTGACCGGCAGAACAATACAATCCTCTTTCGCTACATCCTTCACACATCTCAACTAGATGAGAAGCTTTGTAGATTTGGGAGAAGCTAAGTTTAGCCTGGGTTGTTTGAAACTACGGAGAGTCTGTGATGGTACTTTTTTTTTAATTTTTATTTTTTAGGACTGTAAGTCAAAATCAAATCATCGCGAAGTCATTTCCAGGGTCGTGTTATGAGCTTGAACACTGCCATGGCCCCAAGATGGCGCCAAAGCACTACTTGTCTATTAGACTTGTGGCATCGACAGGTATAGGCAATCATAAACCTTCTTTTGGAATAGGCTATATATATATTTTTTTTAAAGCAAGTATGGAGCTACAAAAATGGTCTACAATAAAAAATAATAATTGAGTAGCGAATCTCGAATATGCAGGAGAACACGAAATACTTTTCGGAATGTTGTTTGATGGTGTATGGCAAATACAGTGTGTGTCTTGGCTTAATAAAGGTTGGGAATGACTGAGCTCGTGTGATTTAAGATTCGGAGCAGCTTCCTTTCTTTTGGCAGACAACATTAGACCGTGACCTAATGCTCTCTGCGGGGGTCCGCAAAGGGCCCACACACCGCAGTTTCCTTGCCGCAATTAAGCACTGCAGCCCCAGTGCTTAAAAGTAACTAATGAACCACCCGTTTGATCTGAAGAGAAGCAGGGAGAGAGAAAAAAAAAAGTGAAACCAAACAAAAGAAAGAGGAAAAATGCCAGGCGCTAAATTAAAGGCTCCGGCCGCCACGGTGACCGCTTCTTCCCTCCTCGTGTCTGCAGTTTAAGGCCTTCGCCATGGCTTTGAAAAAGCGCCCCGACCGGTGTGAGCCGCGCTAATTGGCTGTCAAGAGTCTGCAGGTGAAACCGGGGAGAGAGAGAGAGCGCTCGCTCCCTAAACGTCGGCGCGAGGCTTCGGTCCGTCGGACAAGGCTGCTCGGATGCTAACTAAAACAAAACATCAGTAAGATATTGGAAAGCCGTTTCAGCAGTTATTCGATATCCAGTCGACCAACTAGAACCCCTGCTCGAACAACCGGGGCCTTATAACAGCAAGAAAACTTTTTGTTCCAACCGGTTATAACATTTTTTTTTTTTTACACTAGTCGGCCAACATGTTCCAAGTGAGGCAAAACTTTTTACTAATTGACATCAGTCTGCTACGAGGACTGACCAGAAGTCATTAGTAGCGCCAGTCATCAATTAGTGGCCAATGTTGCCTCACTAGTACCGCCTTTTCCACTCTATCAGAGTTCATCCATCGTATTCACGACAAGTAGAACGACTGTGTCTTCTTAGTATTGCTTTTCCCGCTAGTGCAGCGCAGTAGCTCGCAAGTGAGCTGTGATTGGATACTTGGGCTAAGGATATCTAATAAATGCTCAAAACAGCTTTCCTGAATGCTTTTTGGCCATTTTTTCCCCGAATGCGCTAAATTGTCTTAGTGAGGATAAACCACCGCACTAGTGTCCGCATACTAGTGCGGTGGTTTATCCTCACTAAGACTAGCACAAGTATGCGGACCTTAAGCTGGACATCATGGATATTGAATACAATAACATTTCAACCGGCTTTCCATAATAAAAGTCTTCAGGCAGCCACATTGGGCTCAGTGTTATTACAATAGCATACACACACACACACACACACACACACAAAGAGGAGAGGACACAATGAGCTAAAATGGTCCTTAGTGTGAACCATGTGGTGTTGGAGAACACCGTCCAGGAAATAGACGGATCCCTTGCCACCTGATCCAATGAATTCACATGTTCAAGGAAAAGAAAGTTGCATGTCAGCGCGTTTAAAAATAAACCTCGGTCGCTAATGACGGCGAGAGACGCAGAGGAACTCAGTGGGGGGTAACGGGCGGATCGCAAATAAATGGGCGAACCCGAGCCAGCCAGTCCATGGTCGCCATAGCAACGGTGCAACCCAACTCTGCAGTTTTTTTGTTTTGTTTTGTTTTTTTTGTTTTTTTTAAACGGTCACTTGAAATGCAAAAGCAGTCTGAGGATCGTCATTTTGATCGCTACCAGCGGTTGATGATCTGGCTCATGTAGTCCTCGGTGGGGAGGCGGCCGCCCCCAGCCACCTCCTCCGTCCGGCCGCCCTCTTCCTCGTCGCCGACGTCGTCCCGCTCCTCACCTCGGATGGATCCCGGGGGGTGGCGGTGAGCCGAGGGCCACAGGCTGAGGCCCAGGCCCAGGCCTTGGTGGCTCTGTTGCAGGTGGTTCTTGATGCGCTGCAGCCGGCGCTCTTGCTGCCTGGTGTACTGGTAGCGCTGCTGGAACAGGTCCCGGGCGTAGTCGTACAGCTCCATGTCGAGCTCGTTAAGCTCCTCGATACGCTGCACCTGGAAGATAGAAAACTTCTATCATGAGTTCAATTCGTTTATTCCCTAAACACTTAACAACACAGGTGTCAAAGTCAAGGCCCGGGGGCCAGATCTGGCCCGCCACATCATTTTATGTGGCCCGCAAGAGCAAATCAAGCATGTCAAGTTCTATGATGCTTGCTAAAGTCTGAACCAAAATTTCAAATTGTCATTTGTAATCCACAATAACAGCGACTATATTTGACTTCTGATTTGAACACTAGTTATCCATCAATTTGTTGTGCGTTGTGTATGTAATATGTGGAGGTGATTAAACATTTACATGGTTTCAGGGGGACAGGGGTGATATTTGATTATCATCTCTCATGTTGTAATGGTTAATGTGTAAAAAAATAAATAAAATAAAAATAAAATACAAATAAAAAAAATTGCACCCTAAATAAATTGGCCTATTTAAACTAACTAAAAATTAAATCATGAATGCTTTTTGGGGGGAATCTCGCAAACACACCAATACCGATGTGAATTAGACATGTTGTCATGGTTCATTTAGGAAAAAAAATCAGCCAAAAAAAAGATTAAATAAAAGAATAGATGGCTACATTTTGGGGGGCAAAAATCGGGGAAAAGACTGCAAAATCAGCTGATTTAATCGGACGGCTGATTAATTGTTTGGGCCCTCGTTTAAAAGACTTGCAAAGTGCTTCAACATGGTCGTAGTACAGAATCACAAACTTTTTACATCTTCGAGTTCCCCCCCAAAACGTGAGTGATAAATGAGTTCCAAAAATACAAACCGTCGTGTTGTCCAGGTCCACCCCAGCGGCGCGGGTGCTGTTGTACTGCATGAAGGGCCGAATGAAGCGCAGTCTGAAGGTGCGCTCGAACAGGAACTGGGTTTTGCGCTGGTACTCCGTCAGGCCGAAGAAGGCCATGTCTCGCAGGTTCTTCTTGGCCGACTCCAGGAGGAGCTGCGCTCGCTTCTTTTCGGGGACGGTGGACATGTTGTAGCAGCCCACCAGACTCAGGTCGGCCAACATGCGCACCTACCGGACAGGAAGTGACACCAGATGGTCGGCGCCATGATTAGCTTCAAATAAATACGGGTAAAATCCCTTTGCCTGGACCCATGCGAAGAGTCACAGAAGAAAAACTGTTGGGTCATAAATAACCCAAAATGGGTCAAAAATCGTCGGCGTGGCTTCACCTGTCGGTTGTTGGCCAGGTTGTAGGGACAGTCCATGAACTGTTGCAGGGTGCACCCCGACCAGTCGGAGCCGTCGTAGCAGGCGGGCAGCTCCTCGGGCGTGGGCGTGCGCCCGTCGCACATGTGCAGCGAGGTCTTCCATGTGGCCCCCCGTTGCACGTGTCGCCACTCGCTGAGGTATCGCGACACCGGGTCCCTCAGTAGAGTGATGTAATAGAACTTCCTGCTGGGGGGGAAAGGCGGAGAACACCACAGGGGGGAGGGGAGGGAGAGAGAGAGAGAGTGATGAGCAAATTGCACTGAAAATTGCGCGTGACAAAAAGGTTAATCAATAAGCTAACGGCCGCGTTTAAGAGAGAGTGAAAACAAGAGGATGCTATTTAAATTAATGACTTTGCTCGCGCCGAGTGGCACAGCCGAAAAGAGGAGGAGGGGGAGGCGAGTGGTGACATGATAATAAGATGGCGTGTAGTTCCGCTTCTGGCCGAGTGGTGGCAGCGTTGGTCGCACAACAAGCGAAGGGGACGCTTCGTTGGGGAGAACATTATGTATACACGCAAAAAAAAAAAAAAAAAAAGAGGCTAGATGATGATGATGCGTCTAACAAATGTGAGCAGCAGACAGGGAAACAACATGGGAGAGACGGCATTTGGCAGGACGTGCATCCGCCGTCCGGTCAGTCTTCAGGTCACAAAGAGAAATGGAAATGGGGGGGGGGGGGGGGGGGGGGAGAGAGAAATTAAAATGCTGGCACAATCATATTTCACTCTGTTCTGGGAGCAAAAGAATTGGACTGCCCTAGAGACGGATGAGTCATGTTGCATCCAGCAGTTACTCTTCTTTTAGTGTGTGTGTGTGTGTGTGGGGGGGGGGGTTCTTGATTTGTTTGCGTGTACGTGTGTTGTCGTGTATGGTTGTGCACATTAAATCATTGGGTCGTGAATGTGTGTCCAAATGAATCGATTCATTGACAGTTAATCATCAAATTAATCAACAACTATTTTGAGATTCAATTCAGTGTTTCGAGCCTTCCAATTGTCCAAATGCTTTCCATTTCAGCCTGTGATGTCTGCAATTCGACATGAAAGCAGTCGTGGAGGCTCGAGTTGAAACTAAACACGGTGAAGCAGCATTCAGCTCTTATGCTGCACACGGATGGAATAAATTGCCAACAGAAGAAGTCGGTCCCGGGTTCAAATGTTTTTTTTTTTCCCTCAAGATTGAGCTCGTTTATAGCGCTTCAAAAACAGTTTTCTTTATTATTTTTAGTATAGCTGCCTTGCATTGCCATGTGCATTTTTTCAGTGTAACTTTTCTTTTTGTATGCGCTTGTTTGCTCATGTTGTTTTGTTTTGGGGTTTTTTTTTGCCTGAGTGTTTTGTTTTTTGAGTGTATGCTTGTGATCAGCTATGTGTTTTTTTTGAATGTGTTTTGCTTGCACAAAGCCCGTGTGCTTTTGTCTGTATGAGTTTTTGGCTGCGTTAGCTGATTTTTGTTTGTGTTTTCTCTTTGTGTGTGTGTGTGTGTGTGTGTGTGTGTGTGTGTGTGTGTGTGTGTGTGTGTGTGTGTGTGTATTTATTTATTTATTTTTTTACTCTGTGTTTTTCTTCTGATAATGGAGCACATCACACACCTCCGGAAGGGACCCTCCCAGCAGAGCGGAGACCTTTTCCATGCCTTCAAACTCCACCTAATTACTGCCGTCTAATCAATCAACACGTCCTCATTAGTGTGTATGTGATGGTATGGATTCATCTTTGAACACACGCATGCACGTTTCGCTGTAAGCATCCATCCATCAGTAAAGCCTTGGTTTTGAGAAATTAGGGGGGTTGGGGGGGAGTCGTCGACTAGACATAAAAGCGTCCTGCTAAAAACCCAGTGTGCCCTCATGAACTCCACAAATCCTCAAATCCTGGACCACATCAAATTAAATCATGGAGATCGCAGATGACAAAACAGGCGCAACCCAAATATGTCCTCGCGAGTCGAAGACAATTTAAAAAAAAAAGAACAAAACAAAATCAAGTATTGGGGGGG